CCCATCCCCCAACCCCCTACTCCCCGTCCCCCAAAACCCGGGTGAAGGCGGGGCTCGATAGTATAGCTGATAGGTAATCAGGTTAGCTCTCAGCCTCTCACTTTCAACTCCACCACATAGATTCGGTCGTCTAGATGACTCTTGACAGAAGTCTAAATATTTAATGCGTAAATCTATGATGCCGGAGAGAAATGGTATAGAAAGAATATATAAAGATAAATGGCAGATCATACATATATTTTTGGGTAATTTCGCTTAGCCCTTCAACTTTGAAACCTGACATTGTAATATCTAAAAACTATTAGTTAGTCCAAAATTGTTAATTGATATTGACATTAGATGGTATGTAAAAGGACAAAAATATCCATCGAATTTAATAGTTAAGTAAAACAAAATTTTGAAATGACCAAAATAACCTTATTTCCTTGCACCATTGTTCACACCATGACTTAAACCACTTTGCCGAAGAGCCAATGGTCCTTGCTTGCCATAAAAGAGTTGTAGAGAATGTAGATACCGTAGATGACATAGAGGCTCTGTATTAGTCCTTTATTCAGTTATTCACATGGGAAGAAAAGGGTTTTAGACTTTCTCCATTGCCGAAGAAGAGGAGAGGAAGAATTCTTGTCATTCCATCGTTAAGTAAGAAAATCAAATATTTTTATCTCTATTTGTTCTTTTCTTTTGTCAATATTCATTTCATTTTCTTTGTCAATTGCCCCTTTTCGTTTGATACATGATCTCACGAAAAACCCTAATTTTCTTTGTCATTTATAACCTTCTTTCAACTTTTCAATAACCCAGTACCATGGTCTCATTAAACCTTCTTTGTTCAATCTATCTTCTACAATCACTTGTTAAAGTTCATCATGTGATAGATAATGACATGGTGAGAATTAAACTGACAGTTTTCGAAAATTCAGATACTACAATGGCACGTTTCGAAGTTTAGGCATTAAAATAAGACTACTCTCAAAACATAAGACACTAATATACAGTTTACCCTAATTAAGGTCATGCGCGCTCTAGACCAGGGGTCTTTTGGAAGGATTTGAATTAGTGTGGAGGCTGTGTGGGCCCTCATGACTTTAATTCACAAGTGTACAACACTGTCCCAAAAAATTTACATGGTGAAATCTACCATGTCAGATGGGCAAGTCTTGGGCTAAAGCCTGAAATGGAGGTTTTAGATGTCTTTGCAGTTTGGAACAGGTAGGGGTGGATTTGAGCTGAGCAGAGCCGAATAGTATGAGGCTCCAGCTTGGCTCGCCAAGGTTGTATAAGGCTTGAGCTAGAACATTGAGCTCGAGCTTGACTCGAGTCAAAACCTCATAAGTTTGAGCTCGGCTCAGCTCAAGCTCGATTTGAGGAAAAATATTTTATAAAAATAAAAAATTGTATATAAAAAATATTTTTCATTTGATATTTAAAAAAACTAAGAGTTATAATATTTTTATTATAAATCAAGCCTGTCAATTGGGCTCGAGCTCGGCTCGTTTATTAATCAAGCTTGTGAATTGGGCTTGAGCTCGACTCAAAGCTCGGTTGAAACCAAGTCGAGCCAAGCCGAATAGTATGAGGCCCGAGCTCGACTTGCCAAGGTTGTATAAGGCTTGAGCTCAGTTTGAGCTAAAACATTGAGCTCGAGCTTGACTCAAGTCAAAATCTAATAAGCTCGAGCTTGATTTGAGGAAAAATATTTTATAAAAATAAAAAAAAATTGTATATAAAAAATATTTTTCATTTGATATTTAAAAAAAACTAAGAATTATAAAAATTAAGAGTTATAAAATTTTTATTATAAATCAAACCTGTGAATTGGGCTCAAGCTAGGATCATTTATTAATCAAGCCTGTGAATTGGGCTCGAGCTCGACTCGAAGCTTGGTTGAAACCGAGCTGAGCTTGAGCAGCTCGTGAAAAGCTTAGCTCATTGCCACCCCTACCCCCAATCTACCATTGAAAAAGATTAAAAACCACTTTTGATATTTGTGAGAATATTTATCAAGTGCTCATTGAACGTGCTTACTATATTGTGCCCAAGGTTCTAAATATCGATACGCCTGATATGCCGATAGGGGCATATCGGGCAGCATTAGTACTTTTTTTTACATTTTTTTTATTTTTTTCAGAACTGGTTCAAGGGGCCGTTTTTATGTTCCTCCATCCCTGAACCAGTCAGAACCCCGATACACCCTTTGTAAGGACGTATCAGGGTGCTCCCAATACGATACGTATCAACTGATACGTGTCTATTTTTTGAACCTTGATTGTGCCTACTCGATCCAGTCCCTATTTTTGGGAGCTGTGATTAATGGTTTTAGCCAAAGACTATGTCAATGAGAAATTGGGATTTGCCCTCACAAGGTGTGCATCTCATGCCTAACTCATAGGCACATCTAATCGTTCATTAGAAACATCTCCCATGAATAATAACATATATAAGTATGAGAGATGTTTTGCATACATGGTGGGATTTACCTGTAAGGTCAGTGTGAGGAGAATATCTTGATTTGGCCAATGGGCCCAAGTAGATATATCTCCAAAATTTATCACTAAGGGTTAAGGGCCTGAATTCGGGTTTGATTACTGCAATGCCCGTTCAAGCAACCTTTACAGCCTTGCATTGGGAATATCTCCGCACTTATGTGCTTTATTTCATGGATAGATATTCCCAATGCAAGGTTGCAGCTTGCAAAAGGCTATTTGAATGGTGTGAGCACGGGCTTGCGCTGACCGAAGCCAAACTTTAAGGCATGGTTTTCAAAACTGGACTGGACTGAATAGTCGGACTGGAAAAACTGAGAACCTGTCAGGTGACCGATTCCGTTTTTCCACAAAACCGGATTTTTGTTAAAAAATGTTGATTTGGTTAGCAAACCGTTGACCCGGGCATTCAAACCGTTCAGTGGTTTTGACCATTTTTTAATTTTATTGTCAGAATAGGCCGACCATTCGATTCGAACAGTTGGACCAATTGACCCGGGAACTAGACCCCTGACCGGGTTCGTTGTCCGAGTTGGTTTTAAAAACCTTGCTTTAAGGGTCTTAGTCGAGGTATGATAAAATTCTCCAAAAATTATCTCCAAAATCTGGTTATTTTGTTTTTATTGTTTTTTGTGTATAAAAACTAGAGTCATTACTTGTGTTGGATTGCCATTTGTCAACTAAGTCTAGGATTGGGATGTTATGGGAATGAGAACGGGCTACTCCCGCTACGTACCTATGAGCCATGAGCCATGTGCAAACAACAAAAGAGTAACTCCCATTCATATTTAGAATATACTAGAACTTGCATCTAATCCAATTAAAATCTTATCGCATCTAAAATCCCATCTAAATTCGACTGATTACAGACCCACTTATAATAGGTGTTTGAAGCTGAGGTTAAATCCGGAGGTGTTGTGGTTCATGCATTGAAAAGTGAGATCATTTAAGGGGGTGTTTTGTAGTGTGGATAAAAAATTGGTGGGTGTGGACTGGTCTACAGCACACATTGTGGCACACCACACCACAGTCCACAGCTGTTCTGAATTATGGACAAACTGTCTGGACTGGACCAGTCCACACCCACAGTGGCATTGTGTAGCATGGTATAGAATGGACCAGTCCATATCACACTTTTTTGATTCCGTATATCTCATATATATTTTATGAATGATATACACAGGTAATCATAAATATTTAATTTTTGCATTTTATATGATAAATAATTTTAAAAAATGCATCAATGAATTAATATTAACCAATAAATCATGGTTTTCAAAACCGGATTAGACCAGATGGTCGGATTGAAAAACCGGGAACCGGTCAGGTGACCAGGTCAGCAAACCACTGACCCGGGTGGTTGAACCGTTTGAACCGTTCAACAGTTTTGACTATTTTTATTTTTTTGTTAGAACGGGCCGATCGTCCGACCTGGGAACCCGACCCCTGGTCGGTTCGTTGTTTGGGTCGGGTCCACGAGATATGCGGTGCCGAACACAGCCTAAATAAGTAGCCAAATGAACAATGTTGTTACCTGTTTGTTTTTCAACATTTTTCTTAAACATAAGATTTTTAAAACTAGATCGGGCAAAGAACCGTTCTGGTCCAGTTCTTGGGTCGAATGATCTGATCGTTCGGATTAAGTGGATGGTCAATTCTGATAAAAAAAAACGACCAAAAACCATTGTTTGATCGACAGTTCAACTGTCCGAATTAGTGATTCGCTGACTAAATTAATGATTTTTGGTCAAAAAACAATTTTGGGATGAAACGGAACAGATCACTTGATTAATTCCTGATGTTTCCAGTCCGACCGTCCA